TGATTTTCAACAAGCCTTTCCTTCCTTTCAACATATTGGTTTGGAGTGATAGAAGCTGTGCCCCCGAGGGACCCTTTAACTGATCATTACCAGCGCCACATTGTTTATGAGATCAGAATAAAATTGAACAGTTCCTGCGGGAAATTTCCTGTGGTTCTCAAAAACATTGCCCCATTATGAGTCACATGTACTGAGCATCCAATCACCGCACAGATCATATCAGTTTTACAACCTCAACACAAACACACACAGACATTGACATTGGGTTTATCAGATGTGCTTCCGATAAGAGTGGGAAAGCCGCTGAGTGCTGCCTGTGCTACTAAGAATTTTGTGTCTTCAGAGATAAGAGAGGTAAAACGCACCCTTTTCCAAATGCATTCAGTCATCAATGCCTCACCAACGGATGCACAAAAGCAACTGTGGAATGCTGGCACACAGACACACAATAAATCAGAGGGTGGAGCGGATCTTTCCTTGTATGCGTAGACCGCCATGCTTGCATACTTGGCAAACATAAGAGGGGTATTGACAGTTAATCCTGTGTATATTAATAGCGTGCAGTGTGATGATGCACTACACCTAACAACACAACTTTGGACCCACTTAATGAAGAGGTTTCCATGGATATAAAAGCACTGTTTTCCTGTTTCTCCGGTTGCCAGGGTGGTTCAGGCATACCGGTGGTACAACAACGTAAGACAAAGTGTCACCCAAACTGATTTATTGGGATCCACGTATCTTCTGCTAGTGTTTGATCTAGCAGAGCAGTCGATCTTCATGACATAAACATGACCAGAGCTCAGTCTTATGGATCACACTTATGTTGAACTCTACTTTGAGTGAATGAAGACTCAACCTCAGGAGGGAAAAAAACTCAACCTCTAGACTGTGTGGTGTCTTTTCATGACCTTAAAAACATTATTTATTCCATTTAAGCTTCTTTTTTTTAAATTGACAATACTTATTCAGTTAATCAAAACAATTAATATAAAATCTGTTTACGATATTGGAATTTCTGTTTTTGGAAAAAAACAAATCTGATTCTCTTGATTAAAGAATATTGCAATAAATTCAACCAGATCTGACAAGAAAACAACTATTTTAGTTACGAGGTGGCGATTTTGTTTGAATTTGTGCAATGTGATTTGTACGAACATGTACAGATTTTAGAAAAAAGTATGAAGGTCCGTCCCTAAATCTATCCGTCAGTGGGCAGATTGTATGTAAAAGTACAAATGAGATTCATACAAATTAATACTAGCCACCAATTCGGCAAAAATACTTAAATAGTTTAGAATTTTCATGAATGTATTGGATAAATGCTGCATTTTCTCAATGCTACTCTAGGTCTGAATCTGGGCCTTGAGGGGTCTTGTCTTGGTCTGCATAATTCTTACCCGGAGAAATACCGGGTTAAAGTTAGTTGCATGAGTTTGATGTGTTAACTAACAGAAAGCTGTTTGGTTTAAGTGACATCTGTCTGAGCTTAGTTCAGACTTCACTACATTATTGAAAATAAACAAATCACCTTTCATCCCGCAAAATGTTGCTAACGTGACCAGATCTTTAGCGGCTTTTGTAGTGGTCTGGCACTTAGGGGGTCTGGGTCCAAATTTTTTTCCCTGTCCTAACTTCAACTCCAACAAGTTCTGCCTGGAAATGTGGAAAGATCTAAGAGTATTTGCTGGAAGCAGGCTGTATCTATAAAACACTTGTTACTCGGGACCTGTCATGTGACATGGGTCAGCACTTGATCTATTGACTGCACTGCACCACCTCGCCATGTGCTGCCTGTAATGAGAAGCAATCATCTGTCCTATGAATGGAGACCATTGACAATCCCATGACAATCCTAAAACAATAAGTGGAGAGATACAGAGTAATCACCCCCTGAAACTCAGGACAGCAAGAATCAATACCAACTGCGCAAACCCCAAAAGTTCTCATGTCATGGGGACGTTCACACAAGACGCGTTTTTGTTTTCTTAACAGCTGGATGGGAGCGCAACTGAATGAGAGCCTTGGTAACCCAAGACGCGTTTACAGAAGTTGAACTGGTTGGCGTAAAAACCCAAACCACAAGGCGCAACTGAGCGTACAGACCAAAACTGAAAACATAAATACCTTCCAACCAGCGGAGCTGTTACTATCCCCCTTGTCCTTAAAATAAGGGACGTTTTTCACCATCCAGTCGTAGATCTGAGACAAGGTGAGCCGTTTTTCAGGGGAGCCCTCGATGGCTTTGGTAATCAGATCCGCGTATGACATATTCCCCCAGGCGTTGCGTCTGGACGAGCTGCTTTTGCGCTGAGCGGCTGCAGCGGCGGCGGCCACCGGAGAGGACAGCACGGGCACCTGTTGCTGGTGACTCGGGATTTGCTGCTGGTGGATGCAGTTCTCCTGGCACTGGAAATCGCCGCACAACACGAGAGGCTTCTGATCAGGGAAGTCCTCATTCTCTTCCAGCAAACTGAGGTTGTTGATAAAGTCCGTGTTGCTGGAGGGCTCCTGCTTGACGGACGGAGCCGGGGACGATGTGTTGGAGTCGGCGGCGGCGGGGTTGGGGAACTCCGGACGCGGCAGCGGCCAAGTACAGGAGCGGGGTCTGGAGAGCGGCTCGAAATCCGGGTCGATCTCGACCATCTGGTTTTGGGCTGCGTCAGCCATGGTACCAGCAATACTGTTTGTGTCTTAAAATGTCACATATGATTGTCAAAAGAAAATATGACGTGAAACGCGAAAGAACAAACAGAAAGAAAATACAGTTACTTTAAACTGACTTAATTACATTGGAAACGACTTCAAAGTCACAATGTGGTAGAACGGCATTAGATGGGTGTTGTTATAAAGTTTTGTAATCCAGTCCAGTATTATGTGATAGACCTGTCGCTGTCGCTTGTTGAATGTCTGTGTACTAAAACTCACAGTGCGCTTACTGGAACTCACTATCATGTGTCACCTGACGCCGCCTACGTACATGATTGACGGCAATGCCGACAGCCAATCACAGGCGCGCTTTTGAAAGCGAAACAAGCGGTGTTTTCGTCCTTTAAAAATTAGTAAACAAACTTTCACGTTTGGATGTTATGAAAACACTTAATTGCGTTAATTAACCAAGATGTTTTCGTTGATCACAGACCAATAACTTTACGAATAAAGATCTCTTTAATGCTAATACAACTGGATATATTGGATATATATGGATTTATATTCTCTTTTTGCTTTTGATCTGGATCAAAAGATCAAAAAGGGGGAACCAAATGCGGACAAGACATATTATCTGTTTATTTTGGTGTATTTATTATAAATACAAAATACACTTATTTGCAATATATTACTTAATATATGCAAAAAAAAAAGAAAAATGAATTTAATATTATGTAATATCAATACATGATTAAATAATTCTATTGGTTTGAATGATTTTTACATTAAAGAAACTAAACTTTGTGTGCAAGGGCAATTTTATTCTTACATTAATATCAATAGGCCATACTGTACCTGCATAAAATGTTTGTAAGAATTCATGACCGCATGTAATCTGTACATAGTTTGGATGCTTAGGTATCTCTCATACAGTCTAAGGACTCTGAAAACCAGTGTTTTTCACAGCAGCAGGAGGTTCAGGTAGATGGCACTATACTCAAGGCTATTCTGTCATCTAGTGGTTAAAATACCTCAGTGTCCATGAAATGTATTGTGCTCAAATGAATGATGAAGTGACCTTGTGTCACAATCTTGGTGTTGAGTCAACAACTTCTGCAGGATATGAAAGCAACACGGCCGCCTTCTGTTATTTCCAGGGCACATAGTTCCAGGAAGCCCCCGCTCCCTACACACCCCTGCCCTACCTGTGTGGCCTGTACACGCCTGTGGTGGTGATCGAGGAAGTGTGAATGTTAGTACCGGGTTCAGGAGTGTTTTGCGTCAGTAGTAAGAATACTTCTTTTACATGACGGTTTGTTTCGAGGCACTTGAACCAAGTACATGATTGGATACAGTCTGTAGAAGTGTCTGCTGCCAGGACAGTCAGTGATCCAGAAGAAGGGGCGGTAAGTGTGAGAATACCTGCTCTGTGTGATCATGCAGAACATATGTGAGATTGCAGTAGCTGAGTTTAATGTTGCTGAGACATTCTGATCTTGGCATGTGAATGTTGGCACATAAGGAGGTTCAGATGGTCAGTGTTGGGCTCAAATGGACTCTTGACCACTCTGGGAGGATTCCCTCTAAATCTGGTTTAAAGATTAAGACTATTAATAGAGAGCTCACAGGTCAGATATAAATACCCTCTTCTTACATAGGCAATAAACTTATGTAATGTTCTGTGATGGGTTATGGTCATTTTTTAAATTTTATTTCATTTTTTGTGCTACTGTAAGCCACTATATGAACGTTTGGAAGTGTGGGACCAGGGTATACCTGTTTTTCCTTCTTCTTCTTTTTTTATATGTATCATGGTATTTGCACTAGTCCTATATATTTTTGGAAGTACATTGCAGGAGCATGTCTAGCCTTCAACCAGTACACAGTGAAAATGATTTTGGATCATTTTTAAAAAGACTATTGGATTATGTTTAATTTGATACTCGGGTAACCCTGAACACCTTGATTAGCTGGTTCACGTGTGTTTGATTGGGGTTGGAGCTGAAATCTTCTGGACCGTAGCTCACCAGGATCAGGGTTGGAGACCCCTTGTCTAGAGACTCCTAGACCTGTTTTATGTGCGGTTACAAAAGATGCCAGACTTTAGCACGTATGGTAAAAGACGTCAATCTGTCACATGTTTACATAGAAAAACAATGGCAATGCTTTCTTTGTGAATGTTGTGTGATGATATATTGTTCTTGTTGTTTGCTGCCTTATAAAGTTTCCTGTCACATTGTGAGAAGCCACTGCAAACTATTCAGTTTGTGAGTGAACTCTCTGATTAAGTCGGACTGAATCGTGAACATTTGTAGACATTTTTCAAAACCTGTTTGACCGGTTAGGTTACATCAAAAAAGTGATACATTAGCAAAGTTGGAATCACTGTTCAGCTTAATCAATTCTGCATGTGTATATACTATTGTAAATGTGAGTTAATATGGGTGAATCTGAGCAAAACCTTTTGTCCTGCACTTTCCAGAAAGTGATGCAAAATAGAAGAATTTAACAATGGCTCCACATCCTGTCATGCAAGCCATCATTGATCTGTCAGCTGGAGCATGTGGTAACAGCCTTGTATTATTCATTTCCTGTGTCTAAATTAACAGCTGTAATATATGGGGGGCTTTATATGCATGTCGGATCCAGAAGTGTTATTTATATATTTTGTAGAACCATCTCAAGGATGATCAGAAGAAATGGACAGCACCTGAGTTAAATATATGAGTGTCACAGCAAAGGGTCTGAATACTTAGGACCATGTGATATTTCAGTTTTTCTTTTTTAATAAATCTGCAAAAATGTCAACAATTCTGTGTTTTTCTGTCAATATGGGGTGTTGTGTGTACATTAATGAGGGAAAAAAATTAACTTAAATGATTTTAGCAAATGGCTGCAATATAACAAAGACTGAAAAATTTAAAGGGGTCTGAATACTTTCCGTACCCACTGTATATATATATATATATATATATATATATATATAATATTTAAAAATCACCATTTTTATCAGAGTAATTTTGACAAGCTGCTATAATACAATGTGCTGTATTTTCCACCTGTCTGATTTACACAAATTTTGCATTATGAAGGGAATTTTGTTACAGTAAAAAACAAGAAAGATCAGTTATTTAAAAACATACAGGCATGTTCTGCACTGTTTCCTCTCTTCTGTCTTTGTAAGGTGGGATTGCGTGTGTGTTAAGCGGGCAGCCCTTCGATACAGCCAAGGTGAAAATGCAGACTTTCCCTGGCTTGTACAGAGGCTTTGTCCACTGCTTCGTCTCAGTATACAAACAGGTTGGACTGCGAGGGCTCTATCAGGGCACCACACCTGCCCTCATAGCCAACATTGCTGAAAACGCTGTGCTCTTTATGAGTTACGGCTTCTGCCAGAATGTTGTCCGCTTTGTTTCGGGATTGGACCAAGGCACAGATCTCAGGTGAGGTACCATTACAGTAAACTCCCACAAATAGAATAAGACATGCCATTGTACCCTTCAATGTTAAACTTCATGCACTGAAACTATGAAAATCCATCATAAAAATTAATTATTAAATGCATTATAACAACTAATGAATTATAACAACTATGAATAATTAAACAAATAAACATAACTTATTTCTATATTTTTGTGTGAAAAAGATTTGTCATTTTTTGTGGCTAATTTGTGGCATAATTTCCACCACACCAAACTTTTATTTTAAAAGCACCTAGCCATGCAGCCTGCATTTACAAACTTTTGTGGAAAAAAATTCTGAAGTTTAGTGCCTCATTCTGAAGAGCAAAGGGAATTCAAGTGTCGTACTGTGATAGGATGCCACTTTAGTAATAAGTCAGTTTTTCATCCCACAATCAACTGTAAATGGTATTATTGAAAAGTGGAAGCGTATAGGAGCATGATGCATAAAGGTGCCAATGCTCTGCTGATTTCATAGCTGAAGAGTTCCAAACTTCCACTGGCATTAATATGAGCACAAAAACTGTGTGGCAGGAGCTTCATGGAATGGGTTTCCATTGCCAAACAGCTGCATGCAAGCTTCACATCACCAAGTACAAATGCAACCTTTAGATGGATTGGTGGAAAGCACACCACCACTGGACTCTGGAGCAGTGGAAACTTGTTCTGTGGAGTGACGAATCACACTTCTCTGTTTGGCCGTCTGATGGGCAAGTCTGGGTTTGGCAGATGCCAAGAGAACGTTACCTGCCTGAATGCATTGTGCCAATTGTAAAGTTTGGTGGAGTGAATAGTGGTATGGGACTGTTTTTCAAGGCTAGGCACTTTTGGACAAAGCTATGCTTCCAACTTTGTGGGAATAGTTTGGGGAAGGCTATTTTCTATTCCGGCAAGGTCCATAAAGACATGGTTAAATGAGTTTAGTGTGGAAGAACTTGACTGGCCCGCATATAACCCTGACCTCATCCCCATCTAACATGTTTGGGATGAACTGGAACATAGATTGCAAGATGTCTTTCTCGTCCAACATCAAAATGACCACAGAAACAATCCAAAATCTTGTGGAAAGCCTTCCCAGAAGAGTGGAAGCTGTTATAGCTGCATGGGGACCAACTCCATATTAATGTCTATGCATTTACAATGTAATTTCATAAAAGTCCTGTTTGTCTGTATATATTGTCTATATAGTATATATATATATATATATAGATATGGTATATGTTTTTTTTTCATTTTAATGAAAAATGATAAATAGTTTTAATATACCACTGGTGCAGAGCAAACTTGTACATTCATGGTAAATTCAAAATTCATGGTATCATGGTATCATGAATATCAATTGTCAGCAGAATATTTTGGCAAATTACAAGAAAATGTGAAAATATTACCTAATTGTTTCTGTTTAGGATAACATAAATTGCTAGCTGTGAAATTAGCCTTAACAAGACAATGTAGTGAGCCATTTAATTTATACAAATATTTTTTAAATATTAAAGTTGTCATTTTCACGTCAAAAAGCTATTAAACACAATATGATTGGTCTTTTGGTGGAAATTATACTGTGGTGGGAATTTTCAAGAGAGTCCACAGGGTCAAAAGTGTCCATAGTTGACTGATATTGTACATTGTACATTCACATTAATGGAAAACAAAATGATATTACCATGATAGTATCATGTCCAAAAACCCTTTTGGTCCATATTTGTTAGTGCTTGTCCACATGCTGGAGTAACTGTAAAGATACAGAGAAAAACATAGAATAATACATAGAAAAAAATCTATGTTCAACACATGAAATGTTAATGTTATATACTAATGTTATATACTAATAAGCACAGTAATTAAATGTGCTTATGTTTCACTTGTCCACTCAATATGCATGATGTAATTCAATCCTTTACAGACGCTATGTCATGTGATCCACGGCCTGCATGTTCAGAGCGCCTGTCTTTATTGGATAAACATTAGATGTTTAATAAAGGGTTACAGTTTCTTTCGTGTCACCTCATAATAATAATGGATTCCAATAATGGGTTAAAATGGCAATACCATTGTATTTTGATATAAAGGCTAACATGGTACTTACCATGTGATATTTATAAACCTGATATTTTACTATATCATAATATTTCTAACAATTTTTTTTTTTTTTTATCACATCTGTTTTGGTTTCTGTTCATGGAGCTTTATTCTGACGTTTATTTTGTTCCAATGTTCCTTTGGTTTCTGATTATCTTCATTGTATGTTTTTGTGAGTTATCCTGTGTATTTATATCCCTTACTTCCCTCTGTTGATTGTCAGTCATTTTCTTTGTGTTAGTGCCAAGCTGTTTCATTGATGTTTACCTTTTGGATTATTCCTCATCCTGAATTGCCTTCTTGTTTAAATGAAGAGCTGCACTTAGATCCGTGCCTCAACAGTTAAGCGAATCCACATTCACCGTAGGCGAGGTGGATGAGGATCACAACCACCCTGTGGCCCCCCAGACCCTGGATATTCTCCTTGAGCTCTCCCAGCTATTCCTTGCACCTGCCATGGACCCCAAGCCAACACCATGCCTGCCACTGACCCAAGCCTGGGGCCACGCACACCATGGACCTCAGCATATGAGGCCCAAACCTCAGGCCCAGGCATCTCTGCCCCGGCCTTCCCATTCTCCGGCTCTTCCGTGGTCAGCCACTCCTCATGCTCCATCGTGGATTTCCATTCCTCTGGCTCTGCCTTGTTCATCCACCCCGCCGATTCCACTATGGGCTTCTCTTCTACCGTCTCTTTCTTAGGGGTCTACAGCTACGCTGTGGTTGTCTCCTCCATAAGCTCTACCAGGCTCTTCTCCTCCACCAGCTGATCTACTGTGGTCATCTCCTCCTCCAGCATCTTCTCCATCAGTCTCACAATGGTTGTCAGATCCGCCTCTTATGATGGCACTGAAAATGTCATTTTCTCCAGAAAAATATAGTTTTATGTTTTTTGTGTGGTGTCACTGTTGTTTCAGAAATGGTAGTATATTGTGATTTACAGTGGGTACGGAAAGTATTCAGACCCCCTTAAATTTTTCACTCTGTTATATTGCAGCCATTTGCTAAAATCATTTAAGTAAATTTTTTTTCCTCATTAATGTACACACAGCACCCCATATTGACAGAAAAACACAGAATTGTTGACATTTTTGCAGATTTATTAAAAAAGAAAAACTGAAATATCACATGGTCCTAAGTATTCAGACCCTTTGCTCAGTATTTAGTAGAAGCACCCTTTTGATCTAATACAGCCATGAGTCTTTTTGGGAAAGATGCAACAAGTTTTTCACACCTGGATTTGGGGATCCTCTGCCATTCCTCCTTGCAGATCCTCTCCAGTTCTGTCAGGTTGGATGGTAAACGTTGGTGGACAGCCATTTTTAGGTCTCTCCAGAGATGCTCAATTGGGTTTAAGTCAGGGCTCTGGCTGGGCCATTTAAGAACAGTCACAGAGTTGTTGTGAAGCCACTCCTTCGTTATTTTAGCTGTGTGCTTAGGGTCATTGTCTTGTTGGAAGGTAAACCTTCAGCCCAGTCTGAGGTCCTGAGCACTCTGGAGAAGGTTTTCGTCCAGGATATCCCTGTACTTGGCCGCATTCATCTTTCCCTCAATTGCAACCAGTCGTCCTGTCCCTGCAGCTGAAAAACACCCCCACAGCATGATGCTGCCACCACCATGCTTCACTGTTGGGACTGTATTGGACAGGTGATGAGCAGTGCCTGCTTTTCTCCACACATACCGCTTAGAAAAAACGCTTAAGGCCAAAAAGTTCTATCTTGGACTCATCAGACCAGAGAATCTTATTTCTCACCATCTCACAACCCCATGCGGGCTTTCATGTGTCTTGCACCGAGGAGAGGCTTCCGTCGGGCCACTCTGCCATAAAGCCCCGACTGGTGGAGGGCTGCAGTGATGGTTGACTTTCTACAACTTTCTCCCATCTCCCGACTGCATCTCAGGAGCTCAGCCACAGTGATCTTTGGGTTCTTCTTTACATCTCTCACCAAGGCTCTTCTCCCCCGATAGCTCAGTTTGGCCAGACGGCCAGCTCTAAGAAGGGTTCTGGTCATCCCAAACGTCTTCCATTTAAGGAATGGAGGCCACTGTGCTCTAGGGAACCTTAAGTGCAGCAGATTTTTTTTTTGTAACCTTGGCCAGATCTGTGCCTTGCCACAATTCTGTCTCTGAGCTCTTCAGGCAGTTCCTTTGACCTCATGATTCTCATTTGCTCTGACATGCACTGTGAGCTGTAAGGTCTTATATAGACAGGTGTGTGGCTTTCCAAATCAAGTCCAATCAGTATAATCAAACACAGCTGGACTCAAATGAAGGTGTAGAACCATCTCAAGGATGATCAGAAGAAATGGACAGCACCTGAGTTAAATATATGAGTGTCACAGCAAAGGGTCTGAATACTTAGGACCATGTGATATTTCAGTTTTTCTTTTTTAATAAATCTGCAAAAATGTCAACAATTCTGTGTTTTTCTGTCAATATGGGGTGCTGTGTGTACATTAATGAGGAAAAAAAAATTACTTAAATGATTTTAGCAAATGGCTGCAATATAACAAAGAGTGAACAATTTAAGGGGGTCTGAATACTTTCCGTACCCACTGTATATGCAGTCATTCGTATTACCTTTGATTCAACATGAAATGATACTTAAACTATAACAGTGTCAGTGCGACCTCTCCTGAAGTTCAGCAGTGTGTGTGATTATCAGCTGTATTGTGTGTTTCAGTGATGTTCAGAAGGCGTGCTCAGGCTCTGTTGCTTCTATCTTCTCCTCTTTGGCTTTATGCCCCACTGAACTGGTTAAATGTCGGCTGCAGGCCATGCATGAAATGGAGGCGTTCGGCAAGATCGCCAGTGGACAGAAAAGGTCTTGTTATTTTTTATTTTAGATTATTGTATTTTAAACAGTATTTATACTTCTCTAGTACAGATTATATGTGTTTCAAGTCAGAAATAAACTATTTGAATGTATATTTATCAATATCAAAATATTTTCAAAAGTGTTGAAACCTGGCACAGAAATCAGGATATTTTTCACCCCAGACTGAAAGAAAGAAAAAAAAAGAAAAGGAATATTTTACATTAAGAAAATAAAAAATATTCATTTTTTTATTAATATCAATAAGAATTAAGTCAATAACAAGTATACCATGATGTATAAATACATACTCAATTTAAACAGCATTATAACTTTTTATGCATCACACCAATGAGAAATGGTTTACGTTACGCTAACAAGACAATCAAAATAATGTCATAATTTAAAAAATGTATTAAAAAAATGTTTTTTAAAATAGACTCTTCTTTTTCTTATGCAAATTTTTTTTTAATTTATTTACATGTTTTTGACAGACCTTGAGAATTCCCTGAAATACCTGCTTTGTTTTTGTAATATCTGTCATCAATTACTCACCCTCATGTGGTTACCATGTGCATTTTTCTTTGGTATTCAAAGGAAGGTATTTTTAAGAATGTTGGTAACCAAAATGTTTTGTTGACTATTGGCTTCCATGGTATGGTCAGGACAAACACTGAAACGTTTCTCAAAATATTTATTGATTGATTGGTTGGTTGTTCCACATACAAGTTTGGAATGACATGAGTGTGAGTAAATTATGACCTCATTTAAATTTTTGGGCAAATGAACTTATTAAGGGGCTGAATTTGGTTGAAGCCATCTACTGTTCCTAAATTCAGAGTACCTATTATGTTATTGAACTTGGACAAATATGACCTCGAAATCATAGTTGTCCCGTAGTTTATATCTTGCTGAAATTCCTTTCTCTCTTTCAGCACAGTGTGGTCTGTTGTGAGAAACGTGCTACGGACAAATGGTCCTCTGGGTTTCTATCAGGGTCTCACCACCACTATAGTCCGTGAGATACCTGGATACTTCTGTTTCTTTGGAGGATATGAATTCAGCCGCTCAATGTTTGCCCAACACATGGGCAGAGACAAAGAGCACATAGGTCAGTCCATGGGAAGGCCATTTAAAATTCAAAATTCTGTCACCATATACTCATCTTCATGTCACTGCAAACCCGTATGACGTTCTTTCTTGTGTGGAAGATATTTTAAAGAATGTCCTTTTCCTTCATTTAATTCTTCTGTGGAAACAAAAAAGCTTGGATGATTCTTCTCTATAAACAGGAAATTCTGCTCAGTGTCCACGTGTTTCTGACAGGTGTTGTGCCATTGATGTTCAGTGGTGGTTTTGGCGGTGCCTGTCTGTGGTTGGTTGTGTACCCCATAGACTGTGTGAAGTCTCGCATCCAGGTTCTGTCTTTAGCCGGGAAACAGGAAGGCTTCCTCAAGACTCTTATGGGGATTTTACGAAATGAGGGTGAGATTTCAGTATTTATCTTTGTTTCAAAACCTAGTGACGCATACTGGATGCAACATCCTGTCTGTCATGAAACCTCATAAGTGATCAATTCTGGGAACAAGGAAACTCAACTTATTGTTTAATACACTTTGCCGTTACCTAGTATAATAGCCACATATATTGCAATGCAATGCAATGATAATTCAGTGAACAAGAACTTTCCTCAAAAGTCTGATGTATCATATTTGATGCTCAAAATTTAGCATGCTTTTTCTTTGTAAAAGTCATTCCAGCAAGCATTCATCTTGAAATAATACTAACAATATAAAATAACAATAAAAAACTAATTTCACAGCAAAAAGACACATTTACCACAACTTGAAGAGGGATTTTTTTAGAATTATGCTAAAATCCTTTTACTTGCTAAAAAAGTATAAACTATTGATCAGACAATGCAGTAGTTTTTGTACAACAGGTTTTTTCAGCGAGATTTGATCATGTTGATCATTTAAAGGCCTTAAATGATCAGATTTGTCTGTATCAGGCTTAACCCTATACAACAGGGTTAAGTCAGAAAGACAAAGCATTTTCTTTAAATTGTTTTAAAGGGGAACATGTCACAAAGCAGCAGGGTTGAATAACAGTGCAGTAATAACTAGTTATTATATAGCAATATTTAAAGCCTTTTTGAAAAAATTCAACATGCATCCAAATTAAAACAAACATTTAAGTTAGTGTTTCATTTTAAAATTCGTATGATACAGTATTAATAGTATCAGTATAGTACAACATGAGGATCAGATTGATAACTGCATCATATGATAAAACAAAATAATTTATTTTTGATTGCAGCGTGTTATATTCTGCCATCTTGTTTGCAGGAGTGGCGCCTCTGTATTCCGGTTTGACCCCAACTATGATCCGAACATTTCCTGCCAATGGAGCACTCTTTTTAGCATATGAAGTCAGCCGCAAGATAATGATGCAACAGTTTGAACAATGAGTCCAGTCTGCAAGATTCTCTGAAAGATTCAACTTTTAAGACCAATGACTTATCATCCATATCTGCTGGTCACATGTTAGCAAACAGGGAAAGCAATTTATTTAGTTATATCTTCATTCTTTCAGGAAGTAGCTGATGCTATAAAAATGTTACAATTAATTTTGCATTACTCAACTTAAATAATTGTTTTAAATACGGTATATTCATATAATACCAGTTCTATTAGTTAGTGGGCATACTGGATTGTGTGATATCATAGGCAGCAATACTACTGAATACAGTATGCCGTACAGGAGACAACACATAATGTCATAATGCCAAGAAAAGTTTTTCCATTTATATATAGGTATATATATCTACCGTCAGTGTTGGGGAAAGTTACTTTTAAAAGTAATGCATTACAATATTGCGGTACTCCATAAAAAAGTAACTAATTACGTTACTTCGTTACTTTTTTATGGAAAGTAATGCGTTACGTTACTTTTGCGTTACTTTTGAAATCTGGAAAGGGCTTGCTTGTTTGTTTTTAAAATAAAAAAGCCTTTTCACACCAAAAGTGAAACGAATAAGCCTCAGGCTGAAGGGAAAGTAAATTTACGTCCGTACTGTAGAATGCAGAAGAAGAAATTTCAACACACTTCAGCAATAAAAAAAGACACACAAATTGTCTAGAGTCATTTTTGCTTATTAGTATGGTTGAACTGGATCATCGAAGGTCAGAAGCAAAGACATTGGTTAATAAAATGGGATTAAATACATAAAGGATATTTGTGTTGTTTAACATTTAATTATTGCAGGTTTGCGTCATATTCTGAGTTGCATTATTTTTATTCATTTTGAGGAATATTGAATCTGTGTTTTAATTTTGTGAGTGAGATGAATGAATGCATATTCATATTTATTTTAGAACTACAGTAACTTCTGATTTCTCTCAACATTGGGACCGGAGAACTGTCAATCAATAAATTGGGGGAAAAAAGTAACTTGCGCTACTTATTTGAAAAAGTAACTCAGATATTCTCTTGTAAATTAAAAAGTAATGCGTTACTTTACTAGTTACTTGAAAAAGTAATCTGATTACGTAATGTTTTATCCCCAACACTGTATGGCAAGCCGTTTTGACTTTTATTCATTCTCAGGATATGAATTCTTGATATCAACAATTCATTTTTTACTAGTTAAAATGTTAATTCTTGATATCAGGAATTAGATTTCTACTAGTAACAATTACTATTTTTGATATCAGCAATTACATTTCCACTAGTAACTATGTTAATTCTTGATATCAACAATTACTTTTCAACTAGTAAAAACTATAATTCTTGATATCTGTAATTGTATTTTCACTAGTTAAATGTCACCATAGGCTGCCATTCAAAATCAATTGTTGATATCAAGAATTAATTTCTTACTAGTTGAAATTCCAATTTCACATATCAGAAATACAATTCTTACTAGTAAAAACCTTTATTTTTGATATCAGTAATCACATGGTTACTAGTACAGACGTCTATTCTTGATATCAACAATTTAATTGTCACTAGTGACAATGTTCATTTCTGATATCATGAATGTGATTGTTACTAATAAGAAAGCCATTTTAGATATCAGAAATTACCCTCCCAATTGTTGATATCAGAAATACATTTCCAGATATCAGAAATTAACATTGTCACTAGTGACAATCAAATTGTTGATATCAAGAATTAACATTTCAACTAGTGACAGTATGGAAAGCCGTTTTAACATTTAATTTATTTCAATAGTGACTAGTAACTATTATATTGTTACTAGTAAAAAAAAAATTTTTTTGCCATTGACTTCTATGGGGATCTGTCATTGAGAAATCAACTATTCAGTTTTGACTAGTATGTATTCCACTAGTGACTAGTACTTAATTTGTATGCACTAGTAGTTATTCATTAGGTCAGCCTCAGTGGCGCAGATGGTAGAGCACAAAGCATGTGTGTTTTGACGCGAAGGACCCGAGTTCGATTCCGCCTTGTGCCGAACTCGTTCTTATCCCTTTTCACATCCATATCACATCGGAAAGGCATATATTTTCAATAAAATGAAGGAAATTATCGAAAAGTGGAAAATAACGTGTGGATGTTGGTTAAGGTTAAGGCTAGTTGTAGGGGCGGCATCCATTTAATAATTACAAAAAGAAATTTATAATTTACACTCAATACGTTATTATTGTAGCCTACTACAATAATGAGGTGCAGATATTGGCCACTATTTGCACTAAGTAGTACGAACAGCATCAAACTACTATTACTGCAAGAAAATACTCCTATTATTAAAGTGTAAATAGAATCTATTCCTAAGAAATTATGCTATTTTCACTTAGTGTAAATAGAATTCATTGTATTCAAATAGCCCCTGCCAAAATCAAATTCTAAACTATCAGCCATTTCAACTGGAAGATGAAGGCTGTGATATTAATTTTATCCACTAGAGAGAGCCACAGGATAAGGAATCTTCTAAGCCTTTTTCAGTTTTATTGAAAATAAATGCAATAAATGTGTATAACCGTAGTGTAGCGACAGTAGTTTCATATTATTAGTGTGCATAGAAATATGTGAAATGCTTGTAGATCATTTACCCCAATAAAACACACTTGTCAAGTTTCCAGACATGATTAAATATACAGTACCTCACAGAAGTGAGTACACCCCTCACATTTTTGTAAATATTTTATTATATCTTTTCATGTGACCACACTGAAGAAATGACACTTTGCTACAATGTAAAGTATTGAGAGTACAGCTTGTATAACAGTGTAAATGTGCTGTTCCCTCAAAATTACTCAACACACAGCCATTAATGTCTAAACCGCTGGCCAGATATAATAAAATATTTACAAAAATGTGAGGGGTGTACTCACTTCTGTGAGATACTGTATAGTGCTGTACTACAGGGACGGTCCTAGACCCTTTAAGGTGGGCTTCAGCCACCCTATTTGTCGTCTCAGCCCCCTAAAACTATAATCAGCTATCTGAACGATCAGACCAGTGCTGCTTCCTCATGAAAGTTTATAATTTTCGCTTTTAAGGGCAAGATGGCACGACTGAGATCTCAATGTGGTATTCACGCGATGTGATATCGTTACTGTGTACACACACTAATATCTAATGGTCTCTCTGAGGGCTAAGCCCCCCTGAGGATGAAACCCTAGAACC